TTGAACACCTACAGTGCACAAGTGACGTTCGCACAGAAAGTGATCCAAGTCCTTCGCCCCAGGCACCGAAAGCTGCAAGTAGGCTTGGCCAAGCATTGGCAGAACCTGTGCCCATTTGACATTGACGGTCTCATTTCAATGGTGTCAACCCCTCTTTGCACTCCAGACTTTACAGGCAGCTGCACAGGTGCCGATCATCCAAATTGAACGGCTGAAAACCGTCGCACCCGTCTCAGGAGTTATCGCAGTTCATTGATCCACCTCAACCGCCCGCAGTCGAAGTGGTCGAAGTGACGGCGGAGCCAAACGCTTCAGGCGAACCATGGCGGGATGAAGTTGTTGGCCACTTTGGTGTGATGAAGCCTGAGGATGCGAACCAGCCTGGGAGACTTCCTTCTTCATCTGCAACGCTTGACATTTACTGGCACGTATACTAGCAATACCATGCAACACCAACACCTCTAGATCCGAGTAACTTCGATCATTTCGCCGCCAGGTCTCCCAACCCTTGACTCACCAGCCCGTGGCTCTGACGTGCAGAGCGGTCCTGCTGCGGCGCCAGCGATTTCAGCAGCCTCTCCGGAGAAAGGTGTTTGGGTGGGCATCAAGAATGGCCACTCGTCCAGCAGTTGAAGGAGTGCCTAATCTCGATGGCCTCCAACCTAACAGCGATGGTTCTGTGCACTTGTTTATCCTCTGGCAGCTGAAACTGAACTTGGCTCTTCAGAAGCCACAGCAGTTGAGAGACTGAAACCTAACATCAGGTTATTCAGAGACGTTTTATTGACTTAAACTATATATTTATAATAGTTTAACTAACAATTTATTTGTAACAGTGTCTATTTAAAATGCACTTCACAGCTTTAGTAAATTGTATATATAACAACATGTAATTAGTTTGTTTTTATAAAGAAACACATATAACACTCAGAATATCATATGATATAAGTACTATATATATATATATAGTAATACCATGTAATACCCGAGAGGGTGTTCTTATCTTCTTGCTTGCACATGTTTACGCATATCCGGATTCACCTGGTCCAGGGTTCCGCTCACTCTCACAGGCTCGCTGAACAATAAGCTAGCCATGGATGTCACAAGATTCATATTGTCATTGAAGAGTCGTGCGATTAACTTGGGCTTGGAGGTCATCGCTAGTAGGTAGGAGGCCATCGCTAGTAGGTAGGAGGCCATCGCTAGTAGGTAATAAGAGGCCATCACCAGTAGTGGGTGCATGAGGGGATGTTTGTCTTTCGGCCATTTTCCCAACGTCAGTGAATCGAGTTGCGTGATTCAATTGGGGTGGGAGGGCGGGTGGGTGGGTGACGAGTTCAAGTGCAGGCTAACAGGACTGAACATTTGTTCCCATAAGAGACATGTGAGGCGTGTGCACAGGTGAGTGTGAAAGCTGGCAAGACTTGGCTCCCTTGAAAAAGCATACAAGGCCGCAAGCCCCCCTGTAAAACTGACATGGCACTACTAATTGTGCGTTCACGGCAATTCACCAACAGATCTGCTCTTCAACTTCATCTTCGAGGCACGTTGGTTTGGAGGGCGATCGGCCGTTGGGTTTTGGCCGGACTTCTTCTTTCCATTTGGGATGGTTTTCCACCAAGGATCCGTAGGGATCGCTGCGAAACTGGATGCGATCGTTGTTGTGACGAGGCATAGACCTTGGCACCAAATCCACCGGATGCGCTGGGAACAGGCGGGCCGTTGGGAACAGGCGGATGAGCAGGTGAGCCAGTTCAGTTTGAGCAGCGGATCAAGGCAGTTTGCCAGTTCAGTTTGGATTCCTCAGAGGTCACTAGGCAGAAGATCTTAACCGCCTGAAATTGAATTCAATTGATACGCACTCCCCGTCTTTGAGGTGAAAAAACATATACTAAAGAAAGAAAAATAAATGCAAAACAAGACAAATCACAAGACGATGCATCTCCTCCAGGCCTGGAATCCAAGGCTTCATTTGTGCGGGCCGGGGGCGCCACATCCATTGGCCACTGCGCTGTGGTAGGCGATCGGGGGACAAATCTAGCTGCGTCCAGCGACCTCATGCGCTCCTCCTGTTGACCTCATGTCTGAAGAAAGTTGTGAAAATCTGTAGTTGCTACACTGAAGGGCCCCCAAGTTTGTTGCTTCTTGTTCGTATAGGAGCAAGGCCAGGAGCCCCGTTCGTAGCGTCCGATCGCTCCGTTCGAGTCGCGATGCCCTTTGTTCCTAGTAGCTTCTTGTTACTACTAGTAAGGCACTTGTTACTACTAGCGATGCACTTGTTCCTAGTAGCTTCTTGTTCCTTGTTGCTTCTCCCTGGTATGCTGCAAAAAATGATCTCATGAGCCAGGTCTGACTTCACCATTTGGAGCGTCTTCAGTGTCGGGGTCGTGAGGGAGACTGGCTTGAGTTCCATGGATGAAAGCAACCCGCTAAGGACCTGCAAGGTTTTGTTGGGTCCAGTCATCTTCCTTGGCTACACAAGCCACCGCATTTTGGTTCGCTTTCCAATGAGAAGTAGGACGTACACTCCTTATTGTTTGTTTCCAACATCGGTTTTTATGCTTGGGAACCACATAGGGGCCGCCCCGAAACCAGATATTTACCTGTGGTTTGCTACTAAAGTAGTTTGGCGTCTGAACGAGATAGTAAGTGCAAACATTACAGCATGTGATCTTCTCCTACTAAATTAGTCCAAATGGGATGATAAGGGCCGCCTCAAATACATCCGGCAACTACATTTAGCAGCAAGTAAAAGCTGCCGCTCATACGATCAGGTTTGTTTCGTTTTTTTGGTTTAAGTTTAGATGTCCGTCAATTGCTACACTTGAAATTTGTGTTCGACGGGCGAGGTGCTTCCCTTTTCCATTTGTTTTCCTAGCGGATAGCGGTCACTGAGGCTTCTTACTTTGGAGCGCAGGCACTCCACACTACATCGGCTTGGATGGACCTCGGCGGAGCTTATTCTTCGAAGGTTTCTTGGCACCGCACAGGCCAAGAGCAGCTTATTCTGGTGCACAGGCTGTACCAGAGCAGGCTAGTTAGTTGAGACAAACCTGTCCTGACTGCATTTCTGTGCTGCGTCAAGCTGAAACGCCTTCCCATTGGTAGGTGGTGAGTCGTCGTTCTCATTCTGAGGAGGCTCCTGGGGTGGCTTCCACGAAGCTGGACGAAGTCCTTTGAAGGCCAATGTCCAGTACGAACTGAAGATCCAACGAGAGAAAGGCTCAGTCAAGGCAAGGCTATGGCTTTCCAGCTTTGTCAAGCCCGGGCATGCAGATATACAATGATATACTATATATATATATATCTATATATTTAATCACACATATTATATGTATTCCGTGTATTCGCTGTGTAGATCTATTTTGTGTCCTGAACCGTTGTAGCTTCTTATGCCTCAGACACATTCCCTCACCACAGCTGAGCAGTGCAACTCTAACGTGACGTGACCCGAAAAAAATAAATAACCGAGTGTTCCATTCTTTCGTAGACTCGTAGACCCAAGTCATATCACATCGAACGAGGTCCATCTGAATGAGAAGCAAATTATTCGAACTTTGGTGCTGGTCGATGCCCTGGAAGCTGCGTCCTGGACACCCAACAACAACACCATAGTGGTCCACTCCTTGGTGTGTACAAACAAGGCCGGGACAGACCGCAAACGATCTGGGCAGGTCGTTCGCAAACGATGGAAACATCCCAGATCGTTCACAGAGCCATTGTTTGAAGACGTTTAGACTTATAACTGATCACATCTGATCACATCAAACATCTTCAAACAATGGCTCTGTGATTGAATTAGAATTAGACATGATCATGCATCCCATGTTTGACCATTCTGGCTTTGTGGTCTTGATTCATTTCTTGAAATCAGTTCGGTTCGTCTCTTCGCCTTCAGCCAGTCCTCGTTCGCCTCCTCCCTTCCCGTTCGAAATGCGATCCTCGGATCGGAGGTCAGATTTCGTCCGGCCCTCGTACCCTTCGGAGAGTGTAGGGGGTTCCTAGGACAGAGCATCCAGATCCTCCTTTCAGGGTACATCCGACCCTCCGGAGACCCTCTGGATCCTCCATCTCCAAGATCGAGTCGCATCGAGTCGAAGCGAGTTCATCCGAGCGTCAGCGAGGCTCGAGCGACGAAGCCCCCGATTGAGAGCAGTGCCCAAGGCGAAGTTCGAGAGAATTTGGAAGGGCGTTTTTTTGTCCTATTTGAACCCGATGATCGGGAAGACTGGGAGATACAGAGCTGCTAGTGGCGTCCTTGCCACTAGTAGCGATGCACCTTGCTACTAGTAGCGTCTTGAAACTAGCAGTAAGGCCAGGAGCTACTAGTAGCGTTTTCCCACTCTCACTACCACGATTTGGCTCCTTTGCAAAAAGGTCCATGAAATCAGGCTTCAGACACTTCAGAAAAGGTCCCAGTGACCTGAGCATATAAGAACAGGAAATCACATGCAACAGGGCTCTGATCCTGTAACCTACTGTACTGGGAATGGCCTCCAACCTAGAAGCGATGGCCTCCAACCTACTAGCGATGGCCTCAAACCTACTAGCGGTTACTAGCGATGGCCTCCAACCTACCAGCGATGGCCTTAGTGATGGCCTCCAACCTAAAAAGCCATGGCCTCCAACTTGCTAGCAATGGCCTTCAACGATGCCATTCAACCTAATAGCGGTGGCCAGTGCGATGGCCTCCAACCTAATAGCAAGCGACAGTCATGGCTTGCGACACCAAGCATCACCTGGCCCTGCGGAGGCTGAACCTCACTCCTCTCATCTCCTCGCTTTCTGCTGCGACGACCCAGTGAATCGGCGAGTGCTCACCCTTGCAAATGACTTGCCGCCAATCGATGCGGCAAGTTCCACAAAAATGTGCCACTCATGTGTCAGATGTGACATCTTGCAGACCACTTGTGGCAACACTTGTGTCAACATTTGTATCCGACTGAACTTGGTGCTTTCGACCATGTTCACCAAGATTCACCAAGCGTCGCTTTCGCCAGTTGCATTCATCTCTTGCCGCGGGCTTGGCCTGGCTTGCGCATCATGGCAGCAATCATTGTCACGTTGCTAGCCTTGCCAGCAGGAACAGTGGGCACTAACCGAGGCAAACCCAAAAGTGCCAATTTCCTTCAGCATTCCATGTGAAACGATGTGAAAAGTATTGAAAAGTATTGAACATTACTAGCTCTGTCCCGCCGTACCATGAACTGGTTTGTAGAAGTTCACAAGAAAAACAGACCATAAGAATGTCAGTGGTATATTCTTCCATTGCATTGGCGCGTGCATCACTTTCTTTCCGTTCGCAACTGACTTTCTTGCATTTCACTCGAACGCTTGGCAGCTCCAACGCCTGCCACGCTGCCATGCCCCGTGTTCGGACCAGGCATGCATGTGAGGACCTGGGATTGATGGCGCCGGCGGTGCGATTGCTGGACGACTTGGACGGCTCCCGAAGTCTCGAAAACGAGCTGCGTCGGTGAGAACCTGGTTTCGTGAGAGCACCCCAGCGAGCCTCTGACTTCGTCAGGGAGTCAGGCTCGGTTTGAATCAGAATTTGGGAGGGGGGGGGGGGGGGGGGGGGGGTAGGGCGGGCCTTAAATCATTGGTATGGTTTTGTAGCGCAGAGATGCTCAGAGTGGGTCAGCAGGACCACCTTTCACAGGTGCCTTGATGTTTTGCATTCATCGGCATACTTTATGTTTCACACTGACGATCGAGGCTCAACAGGAACTGGCCCCATTGTTCAAACCATGGTTGTTTCTTGCAATCCAATTTGGGTTGTTGCTCCACGTCCTTGGAGAAAACACGTTTCACTGATTTTCACTGTAACTTTGACACGTTTCACTCTTGGCCAACAACACACAGAGAAGCCGATCGACACAACGAGCTGCTGTTCCGATCGCCGCAACGAACTCGCACCATGGGGCGCTTCTTTCGACGATTCTACAGTGACGACGAGCCAGCGGCTCCCTCAATTGACGTGCAAATTGGTTTGGAACCGTGCAATTCTATCGTTCTTTTCAATGGTAGTTTTCAACAATACCATCTTAGTTTTATATATTTTATTCAAAAAAATCTAGCACCTGTGCCACAAAGGTGTACTGCTGTGCCGCTTGTGGAGCACATTTGGCCCAATACAAGGCCAGCGGGTCAAGACACGTCTTCAAAATGTTCAACGCCACTGGAACACTTGATTTGAAATACAGCGGTGCTGTGCAACTGTTGTTTTGGGTCTTATTGTTGCCTGGTACCCCAAAGGGGCCAAATCCACATGACCGGATCGACGATTCGTCGGCACGATCAGGGCGTGGCGTCGCTGGTCAGGGCGTGAAGTCGCATGAAGCGACCTTTCAAAGCGAAGTCGCATGTAACAAGAAGTTAGTAGAAACAATGTTCGCTACTAGGAACAAGTGCATCGCTTCTAGTAACAAGTGCCTTACTAGTAGTAACAAGAAGCTATCAGGAACAAGAGGTTACGAACGGGGCTCCTGGCATCGCGACTCGAACGGAGCATTTCGGGCATCGCTACCGAAGGGGGGCGAAACTGGCCGTACTACTAGGATCCTTACTTCACTTCGATCGGAGTGACGCCAGGATTTGCTCTCCACCAACTTCCGTGGCAGGATGCACTTGGAATCAGTGAGTTGTCCACAGTGGTCCCATATAATATATATATATATGTATATTTGATTTGGAAACGATTTGAACTCCCAGCAACCAGTCAGCAAGCTTTGCACTTCGGGCTTGATTGTATGGTTTCCACGTCCAAGTCTTTGGTCATCCATTCTTTGGAAGTCAAGACACTACTAGCAGTAGCTCCTGGCCGTACTACGAACAGAGCAAGGACACAACTCTCGTCAAGTCATAGCCTTGAAGGCTGAAAACCGCTTTGTTTCCAGGACTGGAAACGCTCTCCTCTTCAACCAAGTCATCAATGTCACAGCAGGACGGGACGGACGAAGAGTGCACTGAGACCAGTGCTGCCTGGTGACAAACAGTGCTTTTGTACTCTGTAGATGTAGAAACACGTTTTCTGGGCACACCTAATGAAAGTGTACATGAAAGGTCCTTTCTTTGGCAACTTCACACACTATAGCTCATGACCAACATACTTGTACGTCGTGAAGGCCGCACTATTGATTTCATCATTGTTGATGTCCACTCTCCTTCGAAAACCTCCAAGTGGACATCCAGCAAGATGGACATGTTTTAAGCCGTACTGGATTGGATAGATTGTGGATGGATAACGATCTTCTGATCTTCCAGTGACTGGACTTCTTTTGTTATAGTAGACTTAGATCTAACTAGTAAGAGTCTTGGTATCTCAAACACTCTTTGGTTATGCACCCGCTGAGTCCGGCAAGATGGGCCTTTGAGGACCACTGGAAGACAGCATCATGACGACAGGCCACCGAGAGACGGGGACAGACGCAGCACAACGAAACGGCCGAACGGGACGACGGAACAGTGTTGAGCTCCCGGGGGGGACGTGTGCGGAAGAACATGCAGTTGAGTCAAAGTTCAGATTGGAGCCCATCACTTCAAGGGTGGAGGCCATCGCTAGTAGGTTGGAGGCCATCGCTTCTAGGTT